AAAAAAGAACCAGGTTTATTTATTGTTGTTTTTTTGTTATTCTAAAAACAAGCAACAAAAAACTGTTTCTTTGTTAGTTTTTCTCATTCAGTAGCTGAAAAACAAACAACAAAGCAGTTCTTTTTAGTTATTCAAAAAACGAGAAAACGAGCAATGAGAAAAAAACTGAAAAAAGAACCAGTTTATTTTTCGTTTTTCAGATGCTGGTTCCTTGTTCGTGTTCCCCTATTTGAAACCTGAAAAAAAGAACCAGTTCGTTTTTCCTTATTCAAAAAATGAACAAAGAAGAATAAAATGTTTCGTTGAACGTTTTACGAAGTGTTTACTTGTTCATGTTTCCGTGTTCAAAAATTACGTTGTTCATTTACCTTTCCTTTTTCAAAAAACGAACAACGATTTTGGATCTAACTTATGTTATCGGAACATTATACGGCTAGTTTTTTTATTCCTGTTATGAAAGTCTCCTAAAAGTATTTGGGTTATCTATCAACAACACACAACTGTTGTTTCCGCCTAAATGAAAGATATCCGTATCGATGTTTGATGGCGCCCTGTGCAACATATACATTTAACACCCCAATTCCAACCCCCCCCCCCAATCTTATTATTCCAAGCATTTACAATATGTTATATAAACTATTATAATAATTACAAAGTATAATTAATTTTTTTATTTATTTATCTATTACATGAACGTATATATACACAATTTACATTCTTCTTTCCTTCAGTGATACAGCTCCAGCGATTACACTGCCATAATTTGATTTGTTTTGAATTTCGCACAAAGCTACACGAGGGTTATCTGCGCCAGCCGTTCCTAATTTAGCAGTGAAAGACTAGAGGGAAGTCAGCTAGTCACCACCAGCCACCGCCAACGATTAGTGGGATTGGTCGCACATTATAACGCCCCACGGCTGAAAGGGCGAGCATGTTTGGTGGGACGGGGATTCGAACCCGCGACCCTCAGATTGAGATTCAAGCGCCCTAGCCACCTGGCCATGCCGGGCCACCTAAATTGAGTAAGCATCTTTGTCCTGCAGCGGATCAAAGACACTTTTTTTACAATCTTTAATTTACTAAAACTACGTTCACACGAAGCAACTGTTACTGGTAGTGTTAAAAAATATTCGAAGTGCAATATCTATGTTGGGACAGGCGTCATGAAGGAAATAAAAATGAATTAATTGTAAGGGGCTTATCGGAGAAGTTGTCGCTAAATTTGGCAGTAACGAATCCGTCTGGTATTTGAAACTTTCTATTTCTGAAGGAAATTCAATGGCGTCAAAATTCTTACAATGTTTCAATAAAAGCTGCTGCACGTTTCTTGAAGTGTTCCACAGGCATAGTCGACAAGGAATCACTAATGCCAGAAGATCGAATTCAGGTGATACTTTAACATTTTTTCAAAGCGCCATTGAACTTGTGTTACATTTTCTTTTAAATGTATTCTTAGCTGTCAGTAGATGCCCTTCATCATCCTTTCTAAGGTCATACACTTCACCTTTCACTTCCTCTTCTGGTTCTATGTTAAGTTGCCTTGCCTTCTTCTTCTTTGCGGTTTCGATTATACTTCATATTTCTTTGTTGCACATTTCCGTAATAGATGACATCAGACTGCCAGGTTTTTAATTTACAAACTACTGTTGACTCGATCAGTACATGTAAGTATGTTACAGCCAGACAAATTTAAGTTCTATTTACTTGAGAAGGTTTTGCATCAGATACTTTTTCGGCACTCAGAGAAATATCATTCGACATGTCTTTTGTTTATTTGTTTATTATTAAGCACAAAGCTACACAAAGGGTTATCTGTGCTCTGCCCACCACGGGTATCGAAACCCGGTTTCTAGCAGTATAAGTCCGCAGACATACCACTGTGCCACTGGGGGACCGACATGTCTTTCAAAACTAAAGGAATGTCCCCAATTTATTGATAAAGTGGGATCACTTCTCGTTTCTTGGCAGATCATCGGGTTGAATAGTACCTTTTTAGAGTAATGCTCAACACCGAGACAAGTTTTCCTATCTTAATGTTGATCCCAAAACTATGTGAAAATCATTTGCGTTAACCAACCTCTAGCTTTGCCAGTTCGTACAGGTGTGTAAAATCACACACGAAACATATTTATAATGAAGCAACCATAAATGGTACTACAAAGCTACCATAAAACTGTAATTACTCGTCACGTGACGTTATTAAAAATTGATATTAAAAGTGCGTTTGATATAGTAGCCCATTTATTCACTCATCAATTTGTAAGGTTGTTATAGCTGCCCAGTATAATGACCCCTTGACCTACTTCGGGACCAAGAAGACTAAGCTTTCGCCAGTGTTCTGAATAATGATTTGATCAATTTAAGAAAATATTAATCAATAATATACTGTTCAAAATCCTTACCTTAATTCTGATGTGTTGTGAAATAAGTTAAAACTGGTGAAAAAGTAAACTTCAAGTTATTCCACAACACACCGTTACATTTTGTCTTTGTCCTATTCCACTCAGCCTGAAGAGTATTGATACTAGAAGAAGGGACTCGTCGGCTCTAGATATAGCAAGTATAGTGTGGTTGATGTTATTATACATTTTTCTTTACTTTAAATTAAAAGTTCTTATCAATAATTATATTGATATTATCGTATTCTTAAAATGAATTAAAATTACTGTGTTTCAAAAACACCTTTCAGCGTCACCTAAGGGCCTGTTACATATATGTGTTCCACATACGTTTTTAGACACTTTCGTCAAATGGCAACGCTCTACATTGTGTAATTATCTCATCAGAAAGACGTTTATACCCACATTTATTTTGCGTGAGATCCGTATTTTCCATATAACCCCCCCCCCAAAAAAAACAGATAAATTTGACGTTTGAAGTTGGTTCTTGTGTTCTAGAAATATGGTTAAAGTTCATTAACATATTATGTATGCATAAGCACAATTTATTACACTATTTTAGATTTATTTTACAAGATTATTTCTTGTAGTTGAAATTTTTAAGTTACGAAAATGTATTGAATATGAATAGTTTGTTTGTTTGGAATTAAACACAAAGCTACACAATGGGCTGTCTGTGCTATGCCCACCCGGTTTCTAGCGTTGTAAGTCCGCAGACATAACGCTGTGCCACTGGGAGGCTCAATATGAATAGATTGACTATATTTATTTATTTTTTATACTATGAAAATACAGCTGAAAGTGCTGTACCATTGAGTGACACTGACCCGATCGTATCACTGTATAGTGATAATATGCTACAGGTATCAGTATGTAACTATGTATAACAACTGATCCAGTAGTAGTGTGCTGGTTTTATTAAGTAGCTTTTTATGACAAGCGATCCAGTAGTAGTGTGCTGGTTTTATTAAGTAGCTTTTTATGACAAGCGATCCAGTAGTAGTGTGCTGGTATCATTACGTAACTTTATGTAACAACTGGTCCAGTATTAATGTGCTGGTTTTATTAAGTAGCTTTTTATGACAAGCGATCCAGTAGTAGTGTGCTGGTTTTATCATTACGTAACTTTATATGACAAGCGATCCAGTAGTAGTGTGCTGGTGTCATTACGTAACTATATGTAACAACTGATCCAGTATTAATGTGCTGGTTTTATTAAGTAACTTTGTATGACAAGCGATCCAGTAGTAGTGTGCTGGTTATATAAAATAATTATGTGTGACAACTGATCCAGTAGTAGTGTGCTGGTTTCTTTACCGTATCTGTGTGTTACAGTTGACCTGGTAGTAGTGTTCTGGTTTCATCACGTAACTACGTGTGAAAACTGGTATAGTTGTAGTGTTTTGGTTCATCACGTAACTATGTGTCACAATTGATTCAGTAATAATATGCTGCTTTCATTACATGTGCTGTAATTAGTATATGCTGGTTTCATTACGTAATTACGTGACAAAGCGTGGCAACTGGTTCAGTAGTGTTGTGCCGATTTCATTACGTAACTACCTATGGTAGTTGGTATAGTGACAGTAGTGTGCTGGTTAGATAGACGCTCAGATATGTTCATACATTGAACTTTGATGCCGGTCTTAGATAATAAGCTTCCTTTCAAATAGCCGACACTCTTTATGGTTGACATTTTATTTGAATTCATCGAACTAGTTGATCAAATTCCTCATAGTTTTCGGTTAGAATTATTCCAATTTTCTTTACGGTTGAAAAATATCGCTAATAGCGAGGGTATCTAAATCGATGTATCAATGCATTGTGATCGTAAGTAAGAAACTTGTGTGAAATTAGTTATATGTGTTATTGGGTTAACTTTAAGGTCTGATATATTTTGGTAACTTGCTTTGATCAGAAGTTGATAATAGTATCATTTAAAGGAATATATTAAGAATATGTTAAGAAAGTGTTATCCTTAAATCCATATACTAAGTTAATAATTGAAAATAATCATCGTAACAAAAATATATTTAAGAAATAGTGAAAAAAAAAAACACATGTAAATGCTGTTAATGAAACTAATATTATTTTACAGAAAGAAAGAAATATAACTTACTTACACGACACACACGTACAGAAAACATAGTTATAGATATTAAAATATCTCATACTGGTATTTGTAAAGCACCAATGAATCTTAACCCAAGTCTCTTGTCTTAAGGCTTAGCCTAAGTCTCCTGACTTAAGGCTTAACCCAAGTCTCTTGTCTTAAGGCATAGCCTAAGTCTCCTGAATTAAGGCTTAACCTAAGTCTCTTGACGTACCAAATTTCGTGATATATAATAGAAATTACGGTCGAATATATCGATAACAACAAGAATACCCAACTGATGATTCAATGCATTAAAACGTTATAAAGTTTCGCAGACTCTTAGTCACATCAGTATATTATAATAGATACCTTATATACTGGGTTAATTTTTAATCATAGGGTAGCTTCTTTGGATCAGAATTTATTGGTAATTACTTCGACTTGGTTACTTTGCTGTTGTGCTACATATGTTTCACATATTTCAAAATGATAACCAACACCACATATAAAAGACTATCGGAGTTTATTGATAACTGTTTAAAAAGAGACAACAAAATATTTTGTTTTTTGTTTCACATAATTTTCAAGAACGTTAAAAGATTCATTTATGTTTAAATAATCATCCAAAATAGCAATAACAATGTGTATGTCCATTAGCTATCAATTAGAAGCCATCTGAAGATAAAAGTTTAGCGCGTGAGATATGCTCTTACTAAAGAAACACACGGTAAGTACGAGGAAACAATAAGATTTGTAGGACGTCACATTCTTCAGTGAGAAAACTGGATCCTGATGTCGGTGAAAGACATGTTGGGAGTAGCAAACTGAGAAGGGGTTCTTGCATCGATGGGACGGTCAAAGGGGAAACCCATGGGTTTCTTGTCGGGATATTTGTGGTCTCGGGCTCCACAGTAGCTGACAGCGTCGGCACAAATAAGTGATGGCTCGCCATTTACCTAAAGTAATTAAAAATGAATAAAACTTGTCTTGCAAATTATAAACTAAAACTGAATTGTTTGCGCACATCTACCACTAGCATCTTATATTGTGAAACAACAGAATTAAATATATGTTATCATTTGAGGAAATATTTTTTGCTAATTTATTGTCTTGAAACATACCACACCAAAGGGTAGAAACAGTTAATTAGTACGTGGTTAAAATATATTGATCTTACATGATCTCCCTCCCAATCAGTAACCATGACGAAGAGTTGGAAGTCCATGCCCTTTTCGTTACCACGTGGAACAAGCATGTGTTGAGGCCAACCACAGCTGCAGTATTCGGTATTCTTCTCGTCTACACCAACACCAGCCTTCAACTCGTTGAAAGTGTGGATTTTGGAGACTGTTACACTAGATTCTGTTGAGTTTCTGACGATCGTATTATGTCCTTTGTGAACTAAATACAAAATAAAACAACCGTGAATTTAAAAAAATGCCATTTTCACTCTTTAAATGCAATATGACTTTAATAATGATACGAAAAGAATGCAATGTAGTATACATATCACCACTAGGATTGTACGCTTAAACTTTAAGAAGAGTTTATGTTGAAAAGATGCAACTTGAAGGATATTAGTAAAACACATCTAGGATCATTTTTACTAATAAACTCTGCTCATTTGCCAATATGATATATTAATCTTTTGAGATATATTAATAATTTTGAAAGATTTTAAACACAAACGAAAATCTCCTGCCTGTGAGTCTCACCATTAAATATATCTATTTCGCATTCTAGTAAACACATCTAGACAGAACACTATGTCACATGTCACGAGACTTGCTATCCAGAACACTATGTCACATGTCACGAGACTTGCTATTCAGAACACTTCGTTACATTTTAAGACTTACTAACCAGAACACTTCGTAAAATCTCAAGAGACTTGCTAATTAATATAAAAATATCTGTCAAGCCACTGATAGCTGCTAGTTACAGACAATGAAATATGAGATAATGTGAATGCTGTTAAATCACAATTATTTAAAGACACACACACACACACACACACAGTACATCTTATACTTACTTCCATGATGGAACTTATCAAGTTCAATGAACAAACGCCGCTGTTCATTCAAGATCAGGCGGTTACCCAGTTCGTCATACTTTGGAGCCAAGAAGACGCGGAAGGTGCCATGTTTCACAGTATCGCTATGGTTTTCCACTTGGATCTCGTAGCTGAAAGCTTCGTGATTTAGGTGGTGGTACTTCACCTACAATAAAAATTCATGTTTTTTTAATAAAATGCATATCTCTCAGTAATGTTCAAGTTAGTCATAAGTATAGCATATGTCATATGGCGATCCGGTTCAGATAACCTTAGCATGCTCTGAGTTCCTGACCAAAAATAAAGTGATAATAGTAAAAATAAATAAATAACTACATAATTTCAAGTTAAACATTCGAACAGTTAATACAAATTAAACTGTTTTTATTGTTGTGATTGGTATTGAAAAGGCTCGCTACTCACACAGTTTCTCAGGTTCACCTATGGTTATAATTTTCGGAAAACATCGTTTGAAAAGTTCAGATGAAAATAAGTTTAGATAATAAATTGTTAAAATGAAAAATAAAACTTTAGAATATATTTCTCCAGCCTTACTTTCGTGGAGCCATCCAGGTGGATTCCGTGAGAGAGTTCCAGTTCGTCTGTAGCCATGAACGTGTGAATGATGTTCGGAACTTTAGCTTTAATAGTGACATGGGAAATTGAGATTTCAGGAAAGGTCAACTAGAAGGTAGAGTAATAAAGGAAACTGAGTTATCTAACTTTAACAAAGAAAAATATTCATGTCAAGCTAATACGTCTATAAAACCTTGTTAAATAAATTGAACTTAATACATTAAAGTATGTCAATGAGCCACGTGAAAGTGTACCATTGGTATTGCTTTGCTGTGAGCAATCATGCTAACTCTTCAGGTTGCTTAGTTTAGCTTAGAGTTGTTGATGTTTTTTTATACAAAATTCAATTGAATAATAAATCTGAATTTTCAAGAATAATAGAAAAAGTATGTTGAAATAAAGATATGAATCTGCTTTGAGAAAAAAAAAAGTCTTACTTCTGTCTTGGTGTAATGATGTAGACTGGCCTTATATTCCTGGAACATATTGTCGATAAACCTGTGGTAACGGTAGAAAATTGGATCGCGGAGAGATGTGGAAGTATCACTCATGACTCCTGGGTTTTCCTTCACGAACACATAAAAGTTATTATCAATATACGTGGTATTCAGGTATATTATGTATTTAAACAAGTATCTTACTAACAATAACTAGGGGCTAGCTCTTCAGACCAGTTGGCAAAAAAAGACTTTTCTTCCACATCCTCTTGGACTGAGTTTTAAATTCCTGGAGGTGTGGTGATGACATATTTTACTTAAGCTCAAGAAATAAACCTTATTTATGAAATGAAATGAGTCAAATGATCAAGTAGTTTGAGCAGTTTAAAGGTGTCTTGCTAACATTAGCTAGGGGATTAATTCCTCGGCTAAGAACGTTTGTTTTCCTCCCCTAGCCCTCTCCTCTCTGAACAAGGTTTAGAATTCTGGATAGATGCCAATATCGAAACTTCTATAACCTTTTGTATTGCAGAGTAAGTTATTTTTTTTATTTACATACAACTAAAAATCATATCAATAAAATACAGATTTACTGCTAATCTAACAACTAAAAATTTGCTTTAAAGGAATAAAAATCGAGAGTTGGTTACTATGTTATGATACAGAGCATTTTATACAAACCGGTAATTGTTTAATATGTTGAATGGTCTATATCTCCAGTAAAAATTACAATACACAAAGACTTTACTAACTTAGTAACTATATCTTTTCAACTATTTTAGAATTAGATAATTAATGAGAGGAAATACAGCAAATATTTGTGTTCAACGAATTAAACAATTAAAGTAAGACATGCGTCCAAGAAACAATATGTTTAGAGAATAGGTAAAAATTCAGGAAACAAATTTAAACAAAGGATTGTTCATATGTGAAACACACTTACATGGAATCGGCCATCATGATCGTGGACACGTGCCAGCATTACGTGGCCCCAGTTGTGCAAGCTACCATAATATTCCTCATTCTTGGATTCATGACTGGACTCAATCAGAGCCCCTAGAATATCGATTCCGTGTTCCTCGTCCAGTTCGACTTCTTTGCCGTGATCGTCGTGCACGTGACCAAGGTTAATACCCTCCAATATTCTTTCTCTCCAGCGTTCCATCTCCTGGAGACTGACATCATTGAGATCCCGGATGTGTAGGCCTTCTGGTCGGCTGGCGTAGTGAAGACCGCTAACCAGTGAGGTCAAGTGAGCAGAGTAGCCCTCCAAGGTTTCTTCAAAATTTTGGAAGGGGATCATCCGCTGTAACCCAACAGACATCCTGTCGCAGTCATATCTAAAGTATGGGGAGTATCCAAAACCCGGTTAGTGCGATAAAACTTTCTTTGTTTTAACAGAAATTTAAAAGTAAAACATAGATATATTTCGATATTATTCTACTTGTAGTCATGATGAATACGGGAACCTTACTTAGTCACAGAAATCATTGTTCAAATGATCTTCATACAAATACATATTCAGCGCTTATAAATCTGAAGTATATCTAGAAATAACATGTTTTGCGAGGAGACTATGGCAGACGACAGTACAAGGTGTATAAATATTGGTATATCAACAATTTTATGCTTTAATCACTAGAGCAGTAGTAATAGATATTCTTACTAAAGTTGTAATAATTTAAATAATTATTGGATTTTTACTTTAATTTTATATATATATATATATGTATACATATTTTTCAAATAGACAATCTCGATGTTCGGCAGGGAAATCAAGCATTTATTGTATTTAGGGAATTTAAATTTTATTTTCTTAGTTTGATAGAACAACTCGAAGACTATTGAAGAATAATCTAATAAGTTTCTTGAAATATTTTTTTTACTGTTATTGTGTGTACGTAGCTTCTATTCTTCGGTTATTGAAATAAGTGATTTTAAGTTCAATGAAAATAAAGAAAGTGAGGAACTTAGATGTGTTTACAATGAAAACAGATTTTGCTTTTACATTATCTACCCTGAAATAGTAGGGCTATAGAAATTCTTAAATCTCGTTTACTTCTTGTGATCAGGTAATTTTAAGCAATATATATATTATATTTACCTGGCACACATCTGTTGGTGCATGTAGTAAAACAGTTCTCCTTTCCTGTCTTTGACCTTTCCCATCACCTCTGGCCGCCAGGTGGCGGGGAACACAAGATGCCAGTGCCAATGGTGGGCATTGACTTCAATGTCCTCACGGAAATATGCCAGCCGCTGTTCAGGATTGAGGATATTGCCAGTCTCTTCGATATCGACAACCAGGTCCTCCTGAGTTATGATTATAGATCAATCACAAAACATGTAAAAGAGATAATGAATCATTTCGATACTGTAACGAGCTTCAACCTCCAAACTATTATAGGAAAATGAAGATCGCCGCTACACTTTCATTTTTTTTTCCAGCTTGCACGGAAAAATCGGATTTATTAAACAAACAAACAGCAGTTGTAAATTGGTGGGAAAACGAGAGTACTGTTAAGCTATATAATAAGCAATATATTTTCGATTAGGGCTAAGTTATTTAGTAAATTATTTTATTTTATTATTATCAACATAGTTATTTCAGCAAAAGTTATGTAATAAGCGATATATTTTCGATTAGGGCTAAGTTATTTAGTAAATTATTTTATTTTATTATTATCAACGTAGTTATTTCAGCAAAACAATAATGATATATTGCACAATGTTAAAGACTAAGCCAAAAAAACAACAGAAAAAGCAAACTCGAAAACATTAACAAAAGTGAGCGAAAATGGTTGTCTTCCCAATATCTTATTACTTTGTAGAGAGCGTTGCATACAAATTAGTATTGGGACCTAAAGAAATCAGCTTATCTTTATTATGGTTAGCTAGGACTACTTTTGTTGCTCTAGTTGTTTTACATGTATTATGCAAATTGCATGCTAGTCATTGAAAAAAAAAAAGTTAAAAAATAGGGTTATGATAAACATCCGAAAAAATACGTGAAGACTAGATTGCAACAAACAGGTTTACTCACGTGTTCCTTGCGATGATGGTCATCCTTCATGGCTTGTGTGATGGTTTCAGCCGGGATGAACCTGTCTGGGAATATTTCCTGAATAGGAGGCACAGCTAGACCCTTACAGTCGTCACGGTGGAGTACAGCCACGGACGCGGCATATACAAACATACCCTCATTTACAATCTGACGCGCTTCTTCACATAAGTGAATGAAATCATCGAAATTCTTGGCCTCTATAAAGAGTAGAATCAAAGTGATGAACAAAAACGTCACAATAAGCACTTGATGTTATGTAGAAATTATAGTCTGAATCTTGAAAGTGGAAATTTTGTACAGCGAAATAAAAACGTGTGCGATTTCTGAAACCAAAATGTGTGTATAAGTTAAATAACCTGCGTCGTAAACACTGGTGTTATTTTGAGGATCTACTGTTGTCTTGAAAAATCAAGATCTTAAAAGTGGGACTTGTTGCTCGTAACTTATACTTTAAAGATTAGGTTTCATGTCACAATAAAAATTATGAGTGCGATCAAAAGAGAGCGTTTGAAAAAAATTTGAAATGAGAAAAAATGTAATTTTTTTTCCCCTTAAAATTCACTTACTGTACAGAGTTTCGTATAGATGAGTAGCTTCTTCTAGATGTTCTTTGTGGAAGCAGGAGAAGAGTTCTCCACGGTGTAGATGGCCCAAGTCATGCAGCCGAGGATCCCGCTGATCCTCGGGTAGTTGATGCTTGGTGAGGGATGTTAGATGTTCAAACAGAACTAAGATACGATCCTGTTTTTCCTTAAGGGTCATGGTGCTAGTTTAGGCCTAACCGTTACTCTCCACCACAGACGACAGTGATTGTTCTGCTGATCGTAATTGTGGCTTGTCCATATCTGAAGTTAGTATTTATATGCTCTAGGTCCTTTGGCTTCTGCTTTCATGGAAATGTTTATCCAGCTAACTTCTTCGAATTTCGCTTTTCTACCCGAACAAAGAGAAAAAGCCAATCAATATTTCTGATTTGACACTTGGGGAAAATAGATTATTCGAATTATGACAGTTTATTTTTACCAGCAACGTAAGAATTAGCTGTTTTTATCTATGAACCGAATATCTATTTCAGTCTCTTCCTGTTTTATTTGTCTCGGGTTGGGCAACGCTACTGAGTTCGGTTTTATCCTGTCCTGCTTAGCTGTATGAGACGGTTTTGTCAGTTAAGATAGGACTACTAAGGCCTAAGTAAATGCGGGCTGTTTATTAAATTTATAGTCATTATGAATGAAATATCCTTATGTATTTTTTTAAATTAAATATTATCACTATTTCAATATTTAACATGATTGAAATACTGTCTCTAAGATATATTATTGCTCCAGAATTTCTAATTCATAATAAAATACGATTACACAACAATATTTCAATTATGATGACTATTGAAATACACGATAATATCTAATACATAATAGATAAATTACATGAAAATGTATCACAAATAATAATAATTAATATATAATTAACGAATATAGTGCATCAAATTAATATATTTGCGCACGCAGTTATAGAGCGGCCTATCAGTCCCTTCGTACCTGACCAAACAGTTGATCACATCCATAGATAAAATACTATTTCGAAACTGTTCTTTAAATATATCAAACATTTTAACTGAACAAATACAGAGCATATTTGCGTCTTTTCACAAAATACCTACGTTGTGTGTGTTATGAAACGATATGTTCAACATGTTACGAAATGAGGTGTTAAACATACTTATAGTATGTGTTTGTTACAAAATGAGGTGTTAAGACTAATAATTACTTTACTTTTCTCTATAAATAAATCATAAACAATTATTTTGAAACAAAAAGTTTAAAGGATGTTCATTTTTAACCCTTTTTTATCAACATTTTACCTCTCTACAATATAAGTTACAAAACGAATGAAACTACTATGGACCGACTATTATTGTTAACAGTCCTAGTTTCCAAACAATGATGATATTGGTCGTTGAAACCACTATATTGGAACAGAAACAGATCAATCAGATGAGGTTGCGTTGGGAATTTGTAAAAACTAGAATGATTGAAAAAGAGAGCAAAACTCAAACGTAAAATAATGATAAAGTATAATAAAGAATAACTGCAAAAATTCAAATAAATTATCTAGTACATTGGCTACTTCATTACTAAATCGGTCATCATTTGTGTGATATTTTATTAACAAAAACACTACCCAAGGCATAGACTTTGACCACATATGATCCTATAACATAGATTTTGACCACATGTGATCCTAGAGCATGGACTTTGATCATATGTGATTCTAGAGCATATTCTATGACCATATACAATCCTAGAACGTAGATTTTGGCCATATATGATCCTAGAGCATAGACTTTGACCACACGCGATCCTAGAACATAGAATTTGACCACACGCGATCCTAGAACATAGACTTTGACCACTTGTGATTCTACAATCCTAAGATATTCGTTTAGTCTTATAGAATTTTGACTCATACGGTCAATACTGAAATATGTATAACTTCTATATTCTTCTGATCTTTGACCTGCCTTTAACCCTAATCTAATAATCTGGTTCTTGAAGAAATGACAGTTTCTCAATCATACTGAAATTGCTGTTTTGGAAAAAGAAAGGTGTAAATAAAAAAAGGATAAAGTATAAACCAAAACTGCCACTTTTGGACATACAGTTCCTAACTTTAAGAACAGCAAGTTACTTTTTTTTAACCGTAATTTTTATTTTATGGACAACTGCAGATGATATTGACTTCTACTAAGCTTTGTTAGAAACCAATAAATTTGGAGTACAGTTTCACCTCCCAAATACTTTTTGAAAATCCTTGATCACCAGAAAGTTTAATTTTCTCACCTGACTCGATTTAACTCAAAATAAATATCTGTCAGTGCCTTTGTTTTTAATTACTTTCTCGTATAACATTTTAAAAAACAACATTTTAACTAAAGTACAGCAGTGTTTTTTTGAAATTATGTATTCTGTGATTAGATATGATAGGCAATAAACTTCACCCTTTCTGTCGTTATGAATTTACTGCCTATAATGGTTCCCTTAGATTTTAAAGTATTTCTCGATAATTTTAGTTAGATAGGTAAATAGACGAACGGACAGACAAACGTATGAACAGATAGACTGACAGATATATTTAACATTTCCTTTATTCAAGAAAATATCTTATATTTACTTTCTACTCAAACTCAAATGAATGTGTTTCAATACAAAGCAAAACCTATTATGATGAGATAATTTATCTAAATGGTTATATACGAATATTTCGTCTTTAATGAAGTTGGGTTCTTCATCAAAATATCAGAAGTATGGAAGCCTACTCTTTTGTTTGTCTCCTTTATTTTCTGTACATGAATATGTTGCCAAATGAATTATGTATGTTATGAAAGTAATACTTATTTGTATACAATCATATCATGAAAATTCGTACTTTTTAAGGTCTATAATTTTACGTAATACATTATATTATGTCCACTTATACTTATCTAGAGTTTAAATCGTGATTATCTTTATGTTTACTAGCCTCACAGGATGCAACAAACAATGAAAACGACAGTTTAAAATTATATTACTTTAGTGTTTTTTGGATAAGCTAGTCCGGGATTAAAGTCAGAGAAGGGAGAATATAAGGAGCCCGTTGGCTTCAGAACAAAGCTAGGAAGATAGACAGGCGCTTCTTTAAGACAATGTAGGAAATTTTAAGTAGATGACCTCGTCATTTCAACTCCCAACTTTCTAGTATTGCATAATAATAGTAATGTGTAGTGTGAAAGAAATGATAATTTATTGAGAGCTAAATTATGAAGAATATTAACATGTGTTTCACTATGAAATATGAAGCTAAACTCTACCTGTTTTATACATTCGATCACCAAGCAGTTCATTTTCTGTAGGTTTTTATTTTATTTTTATTCTAGATCATTTTACATTGTTTAGTATAACCTGAAGTTTAGCTGAGCTTAGGTTGTTGTATAAATATAGAACTCAAACGGCTGAAAGGATGTTAACAACTTGTTTTTTGAAGAAAACTAAATTTGAATTGCAAGCTCTAGCTATAGGCACTGTTTCCGTCACAACAAGCTGCAGGAAGTTGTTCCTGGAGGTGATCCTATTGCTGTGTGCATCACATCGCTAGCTTTCGGGACCTTTCGTGAAAAGAAGCTATTATAGTAATTTACTTTCAGACTCTTATAGATATTTACATGTACAGTTGGGTATTCGTCGCTATGACAAATGAAAATCTTTGTTTTAAAACTGTCCACATGATGTGTTCTATTTCCTATAACCTGTCTATTGTCAATTACAGGAAAGAAAAATTTTCTGTAAACTGCAAAGATTTTAAAATTGGGATGATTCGACATATTTTTGCCTTTTTTTTTCATAAATCCAGAACATTTGGCCATGTAGCAACCAAATATGTCCATATATTACATGTTCATATATTTTCCCCACAAATCCAGAATATTTGGCTATGTAGCAGCCAAATATGTCCATATATTACATGTTCATATATTTTCCCCACAAATCCAGAATATTTGGCTATGTAGCAACCAAATATGTCCATATATTACATGTTCATATATTTTCCCCACAAATCCAGAATATTTGGCCATGTAGCAACCAAATATGTCCATATATTACATGTTCATATATTTTCCCCACAAATCCAGAATATTTGGCCATGTAGCAACCAAATATGTCCATATATTACA